GGATGCTGAGGCAGATGTGAGCCACCATGCCCAGCCCTCTTCCTTTTTTAGATGAAAAAAGCTGAGGCTTGAAGGAGGAGAGAAAGCATGTATGAGGCCGCTTGACAGTTAAAAGGCTGCTTGTGTATTTTGTCTTATCCCACAAGATTAAACTTTTTAACCACAGGAAACTATATATTGTTTTTTTAAATTTTTGGCCTGTTAAAGTACCAAATTCATTTCTCTGTGCCAACTAAGTATAACTTATTGATGCTTACTATGTGACAGGCTCTAGGCTAAATACTTTGCATGCGTTTTTTTCACTTAATCCTCCTAAGAACCCTGCAAAACAAATATTATTCCTGCTTTACACATGAGGAAACTGAGGCCCACCAAGGTAAAATAATTTACCAAAGTTCACACAGCTCATAGTGTCAGGGCTGGAGTCTGCCCATGTTGATAGCCTGCCTTTGTAGGTACCCAATAAATCTTTACCTAATGAAAGACAGTCCCAGGGGAGATCAGTGAAAATCAACTAGAGAGTGGGTTAGTTGAGAAAAAAGAGAAATAAGCCTGGAAGATGTAACTTGAGTTCAGTGGATGAACTTTTGGTGATAGACTCTCAGAGGAAATTAAAGACAGTGTCAAAATAAGTTTTGAGATTTTAATGAGTCATTCATATTATTGTCCTTTAGCTGTGGTCCTTGTCAATGCAGAAAAAGGATTCCAGATCTGACTCTAAAGCTTACTAACCCAAAGATAGTGTGTGAGCCTGTGAGGCCATTATTATTATTATTATTATTATTATTATTATTATTTTGGAGACAGGGTCTCACTGCGTCACCTAGGCTGGAGTGCAGTGGTATAATCACAGCTTACTGCAGCCTCAACCTCCTGGGCTCAAGTGATCCTCCCACCTCAACCTCCTGAGTAACTAGGACTACAGGCACATGCTACCATGCCCAGCTAGATGAGGCTATTCTTGTCGATAGAATATAAAGTAATTTTTGGCCAGGTACAGTGGCTCATGCCTGTAATCCCAACAGTTTGGGAGGCCGAGGTGGGTGGATCACCTGAGGTCAGGAGTTCAAGACCAGCCTGGCTAACATGGTGAAACCCCTTCTCTACTAAAAATACAAAAATTTGCTGGGTGTGGTGGCATGCACCTATAATCCCAGCTACTCAGGAGGTTGAGGCAGGAGAATCACTTGAACCTGGGAGGTTGCAGTGAGCCACCATTGTCCCATTGCACTCCAGCCTGAGCAACAAGAGCAAAACTCCATCTAAAAAAAAAAAAAAAAAAAAGAATATGAAGCAATTTTTTAAAAGGTAAGATCAGGAGTGGAACTCTGGACTAACAGTCCCCAACCCCCCGGGGCCACGGACCGGTACTGGTACTGGTTTGTGGCCTGTTAGGAACCGGGTGCTGCACAGCAGGAGGTGAGCAGCGGGCAAGCAAGCATCACTGCCTGAGCTCTCTGCCTTCTGTCAGATTAGCCACAGCATTAGATTCTCGGGGAAGCATGAACCCTATTGTGAACTGCACATGCAAGGGATCTAGGTTGCGTGGTCCTTATGAGAACCAAATGCCTGGTCATCTGAGGTGAAGCAGTTTTATCCCAAAACCACCACCCTCCCTGGCCCTGACCTGCCATTTGTGGAAAAATTGTCTTCCAGGAAACTGGTCCCTGGTTGCAAAAAGGTTGGGGACCACTGCTCTGGACCATTGTCCCTTACACCCTTTGTCTTAGAGGAGAAAGGACTGAAGAGAATGTTCAATATCTCATCCTAAATCAGTGGTAGATGATTTCTGAACAGAGAGAAGTTTATCACTAAGGAGACACCCTATTCACACAGCCTCCGATTTTTCAAAAAATCAATCACTGCAGTTCCAGGTATATCACAATGGATCACAGGAGCAGTATAAGGAAGGGGTCTGTTTATAGCCCTTTTATTCAGTTCCTTTTAAGGGATTTGAAGACTCAGATCCTACCTGAATAATCCCAGTCAGAAAAGTTGTGGTTGCCACCACACTCAAGGATTTATTATAGCCCATAAGGTAGGAGGGGGCAGAAAACTCATCCTTGAGGAACGATCCCATGACCAGGTGACCATTGTTGAATGGGCTGATTTTCAGAACATTGATCAGCAGAGCACTCACCAGGAAGAAGGAACCTATGGAAGAAGATGTTAGGCGGAAGGTGAAGTTTCAAGTCCAGGTAAACTGATATTGACAAAAGCAAGGTATGGTTGAATTCTGGCTTGTCCTTCATCTGAATAACTTTTCTCATTTGAAAGTGGCCATTGAGAAGTAAGAAAGATTGAGAAAGAGAACTGTGGCTCCACATATTGTGACCAACTCATGGAATTTAGATGGTGGTGGTGTAGGTATTTAGTCTCTTTGTATTATGGGCATGTTGAGTGGAATAGAGAAGTTGACTGAAATGGGTGTCGGCTCAGCTACTGTGTCTGCTCTTAGAGAAGGTTAAAAGTGAGATGGCAGTGAAAATACTAGAAAACAAAGCAATCGCCAGGTGTGGTGGCTCACACCTGTAATCCCAGCACTTTGGGAGGCTGAGGCAGGTGGATCACCTGAGGTCAGGAGTTTGAGACCAGCCTGACCA